ATAAAACATGCGTTACGTGACCGATACATGATAAACGATTTTCGTGCCCTAGGATGACCTGGCTTTGACCTGAAAAACATTCGAAGCAAAAGTTCGGTACCCTCAGGGTATCTAAGGCATATATCAAGGAGTGCGTAAACCAAAAATGAGCCTGATCGGACTCGCCAGCCGGCGGTCAGAGCCTAAATTGTGAACAAGCAAAAATGCTGATAATTTTTACTTTGACCTGACCTGTGACGTTATCGGGGTAGCATCGAGGTCAATGAAAATAGGTTTCTGCAGACAATTTTTACAGGGCTATCAGACACAGTTTGAATTTTGACGATCGGCACAGTAGTTTCGGAGATAGGAGGGGGCTATGGAGAGCGCCCCCCAGTCACTGGCGTTATGGAAAATACCCCGGTCATGCGTGGGTTAACCCGCGCCCGGCTGGGGGGGGGGGGTGTTTGAACACCCCCCCTTGCGGTTTTTTCGCGAATATCTCAAAAACGGCGCTTATCATACATCAATTCTACACATGTTGTAAAAATTTCAGACCAAGGTCATTCAAGGTCAGGTCACCAGGTCACTTGAAGTGACCTCACCTCATAAAAAGTTTCAATGTCTGTCATAGCTACACCGAGTGACCGATCACTTTGAAACTTGCAGCGATTGCTAAGAGCAATAGCATGTACAAAATGTTTATCTCAGAATTTTGATATCGATGACCTAAGGTCAGGTCAATTTTGCGACCTCCCCATTATAAGTCAATGGGAGAAAATTGAAATGCGCCTCTTTTGGACGAAAGACATTATAAACACTCCCAAACACTGAATTACAAGTGGTTTAGACACACTGAACATGAAAATGGTGTCCGTGACCCCCTGTTCGATAGGCGTTATCACAAGTGTATTCGCGGCCATTGGGGCGACGTAAGAAAAGAAGAAAACAACTGGCCCCAAGAACTTTGAATTATCAAATAGCATGCACTTTTTCCTTGATATGTAGAGAATTTACCATTAATTGTTAGAGAAAATTGCATTTAAAATCTTCCATTTATGCTTTTTTCATCGTTTGCACAGTATGTTCTTTTACTAAGCTAGAACCACTAATTAAAAATAGTTCCCGCATCATCAAGAACAATAGGGCAAGCTTGAAGTGAATACAATAATCTAAACGGTTTTGTAATCCACGTGAAGACACTTCTAAAATTGCCTGTAGAAATATTTAAGGCAAAAGTTCAACTTTTTCACAAGACGGATGGCTATAAACCTATTCAACGTGTGACAACTCAGCCGGTATATCGTCGCCTACAGCCCAGCTTTCCCTAGTGACCGATAGAGGCGCTGCTATCGATGTCCGCCCGTGGCGCCTAACGTTATGCCCTGAGGTCATCTTAGGTCACGAATGGTATCTAACAGTTTTACGCAAATAACTTTTGATAGAGGCATGCTAGAGCGATGAAAACGCCTTAGATGTGTTCAGCTCGACGATACGGATCGACTGATATGCAACATGACCCTTCCCGGTCAGGTCATGACCTTGACCTGAGGTCAAATTTTCAAGTTGACGTTTCAAGGTCAAGTTATAGTTCATTCGATGCGTCTTGACGAGAGGAACACGATGCCGGTAAAAGTAAGCTCGTACAAGGCTTGGGTCAAAAGTTATTGCAGAAAAACTGTTTCCGAAAAAATCGGCTATTTTTGCAGTTTTTGCCCTTTGCAGGCAAAACCGTTGACGTTAGGTCAAATCTGAGAAAATTACTCAGAAAATTACCCCCCCCCCCCCTTCTAACTCGGCTCCTGGGCCACGTAGCGATACGCGGAAGGCGGCGTTCGAAAGAGCGTCAAAAATAATGAGGAAATCACTTCGGTCAATTTTTTGGTCAGGTCAAAGGTCAGGTCACCAGAGGTCATTGAAGGCAAAATTTCGCCGATTTCCAGGTCGAATGTTGACAATTTCCAAGAAGCCAACGCATAACTCGGGAACCAATAGAGCTACAGCGCCGCGGAAAAGCGCATTCGATAGCCCTATTACCGCCCTTTCTGAGTGATTCTCTCAGATTTGACCTAACGTCAACGGTTTTGCCTGCAGGGGGCAAAAACTGCAAAAATAGCCGATTTTTTCGGAAACAGTTTTTCTGCAATAACTTTTGACCCAAGCCTTGTACGAGCTTACTTTTACCGGCATCGTGTTCCTCTTGTCAAGACGCATCGAATGAACTATAACTTGACCTTGAAAGGTCAGCTTGGAAATTTGACCTCAGGTCAAGGTCATGACCTGACCGGAAAGGGTCATGTTGCATATCAGTCGATCCGTATCGTCGAGCTGAACACATCTAAGGCGTTTTCATCGCTCTAGCATGCCTCTATCAAAAGTTATTTGCGAAAAACTGTTAGATACCATTCGTGACCTAAGATGACCTCAGGGCATAAACAGGGGTCACGGACACCATTTTCATGTTCAGTGTGTCTAAACCACTTGTAATTCAGTGTTTGGGAGTGTTTATAATGTCTTTCGTCCAAAGGAGGCGCATTTCAATTTTCTCCCATTGACTTAGGGGAGAGTGGGGCAATGGCGGACGGTGGGTAATGCCGGCCACCGATCTCTAGTGAGTACTTTGTCCATCACTAATCAGCTGATGTTGTTTACATTTCAGTTGAGCGCCATTCTAGCACGTGGTGCAAGTTTGTCACGGTAGCTCCATTATTTTCATTTTTATAGCGTCAAATGTGTTTTTCGTATCTGATTTTTAATTTTTGTTGCATCTATTTGCTGACTGTGAAATGTGTTAACGCATTTTCAGAAGTGCTGCTTTGCAATGACCTTCAATTAAGCCTTTCTTAGGCGACTGCTGGATGTGAGGCGTTTGCGGCGCAATGCCTTTGACTGCTGCCTGCTTTCTTAAAATAAAGCTGACCTCGGGGTAATACCGGACACGTGTCCGGAATGACTCCACGCTGTTTTGTTTGCGACTTCTGTCGTTAAAGCTCAACGTTTCGGGTTGCTGTGTTTACGGCTGCATCAGTTTGCTTGCTGTGTTTACGGTTGTGTTACTTTGCTGCTCTGTTGGCGCCGCGCTGTTGTGTTGCAGCGAGTGCAGTGTTGTGTTGCAGTGCAGTGTACTGTTAACTGCTGAATACAGTTGTCGTTTCTTAATTCTCACTTAAATTTCCATCGAAAGAACGGTTTAAGGATGAATACCAGTGACGATATTTCGACTTTTGTGCTATTGCACTTAGTGGCCGGCATTACCCCTCGCTTTTTTGCACCTCCATTTTTCACCACATTTTCGCGTAGGCTCTGAATCTGTCATCAGTGATCTGAGATACTTAAACTGGGTGCTATCTGAAAGCCTATTCCTTTGGCTACAACCACAGTCAAAATCACCATAAAATAGCCTCAAATAGCTAAGCTCTTTAGCAAAATGCTTATGGTGTCGCCATTGCCCCACTCTCCCCTATACCTAATGGGGAGGTCGCAAAATTGACCTGACCTTAGGTCATCGATATCAAAATTCTGAGATATACATTTTGTACATGCTATTGCTCTTAGCAATCCCTGAAAGTTTCAAAGCGATCGGTCACTCGGTGTAGCTATGACAGACATTGAAACTTTTTATGAGGCGAGGTCACTTCAAGTGATCTGGTGACCTGACCTTGAATGACCTTGGTCTGAAATTTTCACAACATGTGTAGAATTGATGTATGATAAGGTGTACCAAAAACGCGCCGCCGTTTTTGAGATATTCGCGAAAAACCGCAAGGGGGGGGGGGGTGTTCAAACACCCCCCCCCCCCAGCAGGGCGCGGGTTAATCAACAAAGGCCGTCAGCCAGCCACGATATAACAATTATACCGTTTGCCCACCTTTGTTAACCGTCTGAAAACTAAACTGTTTTGTTGTTAGCCTTAGTTGTAAGCCGAGGCAGTATGGAAAATAGTTCCAAGCTCTGGAATGTTCTTGCAATAGGTACCTATTTCATCTCCCTCAGACCCCGAGCTATGAGCCAATGTCTGGCTACATCCACGATCAGGAACGTCCTATTAGGGGAAACGACGTCCGTAATGATCTCTTATAGCCTGACGTTTCTCCTGACCTGAAAATGACTGGAGCATGCTCGCATAGGCAGGCACTCTCCAGTCGCCAGTCTCTGGTTTTCCTTTTTTAAATTTTATTTATGGTCATGATTCACATGATTCTGAGGTCATGATTTTCGATGGCCTTTAGAATGTCATTAGTCCGGTATCGCTACGTGACGCAGGGACCTGAGTTAGAGGGGCGTAAAAACGTCACCCTTATCTGCGATGTGTTATGGACAACAGCTTGTCGCTCTTGTAGCTACGATAAAATATGTTCGTTTCTAGATCATCCCCAAGCCCCGACAGTCGATCTCGACCAATACTCTACAGTCCTGACCTTGAAGTTAGGCTCTTCCATGTGCTGGCCTTTGCACCGCGATGTCTTATGAGTTACTTCGACCGGGCTGTTTTTACATATAGACTCCTAATTTTTATGAGAATTTATATGGTGATATTTATGCATTATGGTGAGAAACATACCTACCTGTATCAGTTAGTGTTCTGTGGCAAGCTTCAAGTTTAGAATAAATTGCGGGCTCGCTGTAGGCATACGCATCGCATCACGGAGATAGGTATTGCACACCATTCAATTTTCAGTGGACGAAACTCCCAAAAGCGACTTAGGTAAGAGAAGAATCCAAGTACAACTTTTAGCTCGATAATCGCTGTGGAGCGGACGCCTATTTGTTGCAAATTTGGATAGTAATTTATCAATATAAGGTGATGTACTGCTAAAGGAAATATAATAATAACTGCTTCGCCTTATTTCTGAGACCTAATAGACTTTTACCAGAAGGATATTTAACTAGCGTGGCTTTCCCCGTAAATATCGCTGAATTTCTATATCGGTGACATAAGGCCAGCTCAACTTTACGACCCTCCCTCACCCTCTTCGTGGCAGTAGAGATTCCAACAGACAACACCTCATAAACATTTCCGATGTATTGTAAACCATTTATTCTGAGCCAAGGGAAAGAATGACGTAGTCATCGCTGTTATGTGAGCACAGCTCCTTTTTTCGTGTCAAATGATTGCATTAATTTGGACCATTGGAAGCCGGACATCTTAGAAGCACTTGCGGTGGACGATGGAGGGGCCAGACTCGTCGTACTCCTGCTTGGAGATCCACATCTGCTGGAAGGTGGACAGCGAGGCCAGGATCGAGCCGCCGATCCAGACAGAGTACTTCCTCTCCGGGGGAGCGATGATCTTGATCTTCATGGTGCTGGGCGCCAGAGCGGTGATCTCCTTCTGCATGCGGTCGGCGATACCTGGGAACATGGTGCTGCCACCCGACAGCACCGTGTTGGCGTACAGGTCCTTACGGATGTCCACGTCGCACTTCATGATGCTGTTGTAGGTGGTCTCGTGGATGCCGCACGACTCCATGCCCAGGAAGGAGGGCTGGAACAGCGCCTCGGGGCAGCGGAAGCGCTCGTTGCCGATGGTGATGACCTGGCCGTCGGGCAGCTCGTAGCTCTTCTCCAGGCTGCTCGAGCTGGCCGCGGTGGCCATCTCCTGCTCGAAGTCCAGAGCGACGTAGCAGATCTTCTCCTTGATGTCGCGCACGATTTCGCGCTCGGCGGTGGTGGTGAAGCTGTAGCCGCGCTCGGTGAGGATCTTCATCAGGTAGTCGGTCAGGTCACGGCCGGCCAGATCCAGACGCAGGATGGCGTGCGGCAGAGCATAACCTGTAAACAGAATTAACTCGGGATGAATTATACGTGGGCACCTAAATCAGAAATGTGCTTCATTAGCTTTCAGAAATTTTCAGTATAAACGTTACTGACGGCAGTTTCTACTTGCATGTGAATGTGTGCGAAAAGTACCAACTGTATTTACATTGCAGCTGATTTAATCTACTTTACGTATGAATAAACGTTCCTTCGCTTTTACAAAGGTAAGTCATGAATATGATCGGGGTTTTGGGTCAATCATACACACCCTCGTAGATGGGGACGGTGTGGGAGACGCCGTCGCCGGAGTCCATGACGATTCCGGTGGTGCGGCCGGAGGCGTACAGCGACAGCACCGCCTGGATGGCCACATACATGGCGGGCGTGTTGAACGTCTCGAACATGATCTGGGTCATCTTCTCGCGGTTGGCCTTGGGGTTGAGCGGCGCCTCGGTCAGCAGCACCGGGTGCTCCTCGGGCGCGACACGCAGCTCGTTGTAGAAGGTGTGGTGCCAGATCTTCTCCATGTCGTCCCAGTTGGAGACGATGCCGTGCTCGATCGGGTACTTCAGGGTGAGAATACCACGCTTGGACTGGGCCTCGTCGCCGACGTAGGAGTCTTTCTGTCCCATGCCGACCATGACGCCCTGGTGGCGGGGCCGGCCGACGATCGACGGGAAGACGGCACGCGGAGCGTCGTCTCCGGCGAAACCGGCCTTGCACATGCCGGAGCCATTGTCCACAACCAGAGCGGCAACCTCGTCGTCACACATGTTGGCCTATTGAGTCTCCTGCAAAAATGGAATCAAGTCATTGTAATAACACATGTTTTCTATTCCACGACAATCAACCAAGGTGCACACCTAAAACATAACGACTTGTAGGTGACAAAGTAATACGGTACTGCCACCGATTGTACCACACGGATAGGGCAGTGGCCACTTCTTATAATCAGTGCCAGGCTTCCCATTTACATGAGGAAACGGCACAGTCGAGAGCTAAAGCGACACTGCCATCTACACTTCCTCTAAAATACAACTTCCTTTCTACACTTACAGCTAAAATACGGCATCATTGTCTTAAGTTGAAATACGGCAATGGCTACATTACTGTCTGCAATAAATACGGCAATATCCAGAGCGAAATTACGGCATTGCCGTCTATAGTTATTTTACGGCATTGCCGTCTACACTTATTTACGGCATTGCACCTGCAGGAAAAGAGCGGCATTGAGTCTTCTCTTAGGATCGCCTACAATACAACTGCGGCATTGCCCTCTACAGTTGAAGTTTCTATAGTTCAATCATGGTGCAAGATATCATGCTAGAGTGTAAAACATTGACATCTTAAGCTCAAATACGGCATTTACGTTTTAAGTTCAAATACGGCATTGACGTCTACATACAGTTACCTTAGTGCGACACTATCGCCGACAAGAGTGAACTGATAAGGTTTGTAGGCACATCAAAATAAGTACCTAATACCTAGGGAAAATAATATCTCGTATATGAGGCCTGATTTATGCATGCACTGTAAGTACAATTTGAATGCTCAGGATTGCTGCTCATGGAGCTAACAGTAAGTTGCATGCATCATTATATAATTTCACCTACTTTGCAAGTTCTTTACATTTTTCGGGAAACAAAATATTCGCAAACAGATATCTTAATAGAAATGTTTCGTTTTCCCACTGCCCAATGACCACCATCCCGAAGCACGAAGAAGAACTTTTCAATGAAGGGTAAGGAAAAAAAAACACACACCCTTCTGTTTCTGTAGCCCCTTCTGTTTATGAAAAACACAAACAGAAAAGGTTGGGTATGTCTCACAACCAGCTAATGGGATGAGGCGGTGTACAGTGTTGGACTCAAGTCTCACCTGTGCACCTGTGGCGACTTCTCTGCGACCTGACCCGTTCGAGTGAGGCCGCGCCCCATCTTCCCCGGCTTTATAAAATCACTATCGCTGGCACTTGAGACGCGTCGGTGGGGGGGGGGGGGGGGGTAGGGGGGCGATAGACAGGAAGGCGGCGTTATCTGCCCGTTAGGGTGTGTCATATCTAATATTTTTGTCTCAGATCAAGCGCTTCCGCGGATATTCCTTGTCCCTGGGTTCATTGAAGCCCATTGGCACTGTTCTTTTTTCGCTGCACCGAAAATTCAGGCGGCGCGGGCCCAATCAATTTCGACATTTCCCGTGGCGCCCGGCGTTGAAGTCTCCATACTGAACACAATGCGTACCGTAGCGCTAACACCAGCCATATGACTCGCCGCCGGCCTATAGCGGCCAACACCGTTTGACGGTTAAAATTCTATTGCTATTTCTTGTTTAAATGGACGTCGGACGAAACATATCGTTATCTTAATGTGTTGAGGCCATTCAGGGACCCACAGATGATTCATATAATAGGATCACGCTGCAGCCTTGGCAAGACTATCACGGGTGGGGCAGGGAGAATGAGAGCACAGATGGACAGAGGGCAACGTGAGCGGGGTCTCGGGTATCACCCCTCCGTCGGCAACACAATGTGTCGGCTTTCGAGTCATGTGCTGTCTCCCCGAGGCACACGAGCTTGCGAAGAACGTGGGTCAGTCTGGTTTCAGCTGCGGCGTGAGCAGAAGTGTGTGTGGCGCAATCGAATCGGACTATCCGTGCCGCAGTGATGCCGTTGCGAAGCAAGGGGAAGCATTTTGTTATCGGGTCTCCCAGTGTGCTGCTGGTAAATCAGCTGCCTACAAACAGAGATGTAGTGAACTATGTGAGACTCTTGGCAGGGGATAGAAAAAGTGAGCGGACAGTCACTGCATGTTTATGTGAAGCAGCGGAAGCGGTGGTTGCAATGTGGTCGAGTGAGGGCATACCAACGATGCAAATGCATTATGTGGTTCGGAAGGTAAAGCAAGTCTACGAAAGATTTCGCCGATCGAACAAGGTGCCCAAAAGAATGCGGAGGGACAAACGAAACTAAGTCTTTCTAACGCGAGTCTGTTTCGTAAGCTTTTTGACATCGCCCGCTGCCGCTGTAAAGATCTACGCAGCTGTACCTGTCCACTTTCAAACCGGGTACCGCCAGCGGAAGTAGCATTCCTTCGAGACCAGAGAGGAGTTCGGAAGATGAGACTGGATGGTGTGGACTACGAGGAGACGGGGAAACGACGTAAGACTGCGAGCCTTAGAATGAGACGGGAGCGGAACGAGGGGAGGGGCGACGTGGGTCAAGCTGGTCCTTCCCACCTCCGTACCTATTCCAACGGCGTCAATCGACACAGGCCAGGTAGACTCGTCGGCAACGACCGACACCAACGACAGCAATGAAGACGTCACAAGTGAATTTGAGATGAAGGAATGCATCAAAGACTCAAACGATGATGATATGACAAACACTGCACTGGCAGCTGACTGACAGGTAGGTGGTTTATCCAACCGTACTGTAGCGGCCGTCATCAACGGTTTTCAGGTGGATATCGGTCGCGTAGCGAGCGGCAAAACAGAATTGCTGGTCGACCCGAAAAAGTATGGAGAGAAAGATGCCGGATGAGACAAAGTATGCAGTGGCCGCGCGGGACCAGCAACACAGCGACGCTGAGCTCAAGGCCATGTACTTTGATGGAAGGCATGATCAAACTAGCACGGGCCGAGGCGGCTACAGGGCAACTGAGGAACATGTGGCTATGTAGCAGAACCAGGAAACGAATATCTCTCCAACTTTACGCCAATTTCGGGTAAAGCCATTGATCAAGCCAATGAGCTGAATGCTGATAAACGTTGCCACTCTGGCTAATAGGCTGCGATGGCGCGGCTGTCAATACGGGCAGGTCTGGTGGAATATGCCGACTTTTGGAGCTTATTCAAGAGAAAACGGTCCATTGGTTTGTTTGCCAGGTGCACTCACATGAGCTTGTACTCAGGGAAGTGTTCCAAAACTTGGACGGCAAAACCAGTGGACCCGGATTATTCACGGGGCCGTTGGGCAAGGCAGCCGGCTGCTCCGTGACCGTCTTTCTCCCGTGAAGTTCCGACCGGTGAGCGGCCCAGAGCTGGATCTGACAAAATCATCGCCGACCTCAGCAGCGACCAACTCCTGCCGTATCAGCTCACCAGAGCCGTGCGGACGGGCAACATCTCCGCAAAGGAGGCCTGCAAGAAAATCGGTCCCCTGAACCATGCAAGGTAGGCAAATGCTAATTCAGTTGAATTCAGTTTGCTATTGAATGGCAAAGATGCATCTTTTCTGTGTAACCGTTGTGTAAATAGAGGATACTGCCTCGTTTGCATTGCTTACATCCGTATTGACAGCGTCTGTCGACGCTAACATGCGGAGACGCGCGCGGCTGGTGTTAGTGTCATCAAACGCATTACGCCAAACATGGAGACTGCAACGCCGGGCGCCACGATAAATCCCGAACTTCTTTCAGCCGGCGCCGATCGAATTTTCGATGCATGGAAAAAAGAACTGCACCAATGGGCTTCCATAGACACAGGGACAAGGAAAATCAGCGGAAGCGCTTGATCTGTTTCTAGTGACACACCCTACTGCCCGTATGTAGGTCCGGATCGTATCAGTTGAGTCTCAGATCGGTAGACCAGTGACACAGATAGGTATTCAAAGAAAAATCTTACAAATGGATAACCTACACTCACATAAACCTACCGGCTACCACAGGTCTTTTTTTGGTATTCTCAGAACCTTTTGCCATTTTTTCCTTTACTGCCCTCTTTCGCATGGATGCAATTTCCGATTTAGTGGTTTGTGTGTGAGTGTGTGTGTGTGTGGGGGGTGTCAGCCAATACTGTGAGATTCGAACCGGCCGTCGGGAGTCAGGCATTAACCCGGCCGGGCCCGGGGGGTAATCCCAACCACCGCAGCCCGGGGGGGGCGTTTTTCGCCCCCCCCCTGTCTAACTCCGTAAATAAGGGAGCTACGGAAACAAAAGCGATACCAAACGAAAGGTCCTTACGAGACGATTCTAATGCACCTAAAATTTTTGACCTCAGGTCAATTTTCAAGGTCAGAGGTCAAGGTCAAAGGCCAAAACCGGCACATGTGTAGTGATCTCAAAGTAAGCCTTCTAGAGGACGGCAGGCTGCATCAAACCGACAAAATTGGGTGTCAAACGAAAGAAGAGAATCTGAGGATTCTGAAAATGTGCTCCAAATCAAAGGTCAAGGTCAAGGTCACGCTCAAAATTGACCTCAAACTTGGCACTTTTTCGCACATCTTGCGTGCTAACTTCCAAGATGTTTTGAAATGTTTTGAGGCTTATCAGTTCCCTATTTGTGGTTCATCTTACGATACAAGGCTGCTCAAAGGTCAAGGTCACAGAAGAGTATCCCTGCTAGAGGCTATTTCACTGATTCAAGTTAGTAATAATAAATAAGACAATTTTGCCATCCGGAAGCTCTAAATGAAGGCTTAGAGGAAAATAGATGCCAGATTCGTGATCAGCGGGTACAAATCCATCATAAACGACCTTTCATGTGTCAAGGTCAACCAGAGGTCATTCGAGGTCACATGAGGTCAACATGAAACTTGACCTTTTCCGAACAAAATATATATCATTCGACGCGGCTTGACAAGGCAAATGCGATGGTACCACTGCCGTAGCTCTAGGACCATTTTTGTCGAAGTTATTTGCGAAAAACTAAAACCACATTTCGGGGTCGTTGACCTGACCTCTGACCTCAGGTCACCAAAACTATTTTTCTATTTTTCTCTAGGTCAAACGCTACACAGCCGTGCTCGTAATTTGTCTTTATCTCTAAAACTCTATTTTTAGCAGCTATTTGAAGTTTGCGTCTGTGACCCCGAAGTTTGCCGTGCAGGGGTCTAGAAAAATGGACCTTGTGACGTCATCAAGGGGGCTAGGTCCAAATTTTTTACTTCAGAAGATGTCAAATTGATGGGAGAAAAGGTACTGAAAGTTTCGCCTTCCTATCCCTAAGCGTTTGGGAGGTATCGCAAATATTCGCCAGGGGGGGGCCAAAAACGCCCCCCCCGGGCCCGCGAGGGTTAACCCGCGCACCGACGGGGGTCTGCGCCAACTTAGTACCGACGGGGGGGGGGGGGGGCGGATGACCGCCCCCCCTGAGATCTCGAGAACGAAGCAAGATAGCGACAAGCGGTAAACGGCATCGGATACGCACGGACAAGGTCTACAATTTTTACAAAGGTCATTTTCAGGTCAGGTCAAAGATGACGTCACAGGGGTCGAAAAAGTCAAAATGGCGGCGCTAGATATGGAGAGGGTTTTTCTCGAATAACTTTCGAAGTAGTCAAGATAGGAACAAACTAAGGGCATCATCGTGATCCTCTCGTCAATCCGCATCGAATGATATATATGTTGACCTCGAAAGGTCAAGGTCAAAGGTTGACCTCAGGTCACGTGACCTCGAGGTCATCATGTATATCATTCGATGCGTCTTGACGAGCTGAACACAATGAGACCATCCGCGCGGCTGTATCTTGTTCCTGTAAGGAGTTATTGGCAAAAAACCTTTGATGACCTTTGATGACGTCACATGACCTTACAGCTGCCCAACAGCAAAACAGACCTCAAGGTAGTGAAGGTTGATCGTATGTGAAGTCATGTATGGTATATGGGGCCATTCCGACCCGTTTTAGTGGTAAAAACAGGGAGTTGATTTTTCCCCCATTGACTTATAATGGGGAGGTCGCGAAATTGACCTGACCTTAGGTCACCGACATCAAAATTCCGAGATATACAAATTGTAGCTACGAATGACCTAATAACATCCTGCGACTTTCAAAGGCCTCCGACATCTACTGTAGCTCTGGCACGGTGACAAAGTTGCAAAAAAGTGACTTGAGGTTGGGTCATTCAAAGTGACCTGGTGACCTGACCTTAAAAGTTAGGAGGTTCAAACTTGCACACCATGTGTAAAATTGATTAGAGAATAGTCATACCAAATTTCGCGGCGCTACGCGCCGCGGTTTTCCCGCTATCCGCGAAAAACCTCAGGGGGGGGCGGATATCCGCCCCCCCGTCGGTGCGCGGGTTAACAGCAAACTTATAGGTAAACTAGGCTCAACAGTAAACACTGTTGTAGTTGAGTCAAGACATCTCGAACCAATTAAGTCTCGGGTCTAGCTTATCACGATGGACTGAGCCGGAACAACGCGAGTCAACTTCATGTATGTCATAAACTCTTTTTACAACGGCACACGTTGGGCACTTGACCTTTGAGTGAATTTGAAAGCAAAGAAGCAAAATTGTTACACAGTTGTTGGACGATGTCTCAGTGCAATAATTCTGTATCATAAAAGAAGCAAAGCAATCGACATTTCATTCGAAAGGGAAAACCTGCTGGTAAGCAACTATGTACTAAAATGTATCGGTACCAAACGAGTCAAACGGTCTAATAGGTGCCCAATGTTCGTCGCGAAAAGGAATATACACATCCTTTTTCTCCATTCTATGGTCAGTGTCATTGGTCATACAATGGTTTTAGCAGTTCGAAAAGGCTAAATTAATAATAAACAATGTTTATTATTAAACATGACACCACACCCATAACATTGCGCATAGGCATAAGTGTGTGCGTGTGTGTGTGTGTGTGTGTGTGTGTGTACTTGTAAGCCATCACTTTTGGGGTCATTTTGTGATCGCACACCTGCAATGTGAGGACACCATGTCACATTCACGGACAGTTTTGGTGTCCTCGGATTTAGAAGGCGGATATACCCATATTTTTCATTTTTTGAACGATTTAAGAGTTTTCGGAGTGTCCCGAAATTTCACGTCTTTTGAGATCGAGTGCGGAAAGTGTGTGAGTGCGGAAATTTCGGAGCGTTTCCTATTCTGTGCGACGGATAGTGGTGTTTGGAATCGAAGGCATATCCACCATTCATGAATCATGACTAGCGATTCATTGCCGCAATACATTTGTTCTTTGCATTTGGGATAATATTTTGTATTAATATATTTGTTTATTTAATATCAAACACCTAGGATTATTCTTGAGTTAATTTAAATTTGAATCTTTTTTGTTAAATCAGACTCAATCTGAATCCTTTGCTGGATAAACAGGGAGCATGCGGCCCTTGCGCGTAGATTGGTTGCCTCATACTATGACGTAATAGGTACATTATGTTGATTGGTCAGTTTACTCAAAACGCCTTTGGCTTCGACGCTCATTGGCCCAACTTTCGCGTGCCTCCAACCGCCTTTTTATAAGAAGTTTGTACGTTTTTAGATTTAACTTTTCCGGTGGTTTTCGCGTGGATTTTCGTCAACTTCGTGAACAACAACTACTGTCGTCCGATTTGTAAGTGCATCATGCCTATTTTCCCATTCGTGAATTAGGATAGCAAAGCCTTTTCAGAATTATTCCATGCTCATTCAGACAGATGGTTCAAGGCGGTGTCAGGCGCTGATAGTTTATTCTCTTAAATAAGTATCGAAAGTGTACCTACCTACCAAATAAGACCTTCCAGGGATTTCCCAATCCTTAGTGTTCTTTGGAGATTTAGCCTTTTTAAAGGTGAGTGTTATTGTCTGTCTGTTCTTAAATATTGGTAATTATCCAGTTCAAGTTTAAATCAGCTTCAGTGCATGGGTGTTGTTTTCCATAGGCTTGGTAGGTCCCGAGCCCTACCAATAATTTCAGGATTAATTTCATAATAATTTCAGAACATTAGATGCCTTCAAAAACGTATTAAGCAAGATGAAAAGAACATGTTAGAGCTCTGAAACTTCAGCTAACATCTGAGATTCACCCAATACCAAAAGTGTTCTACGAAACATTCGGCTTTGGACTTGTGTTTTTGGTTTTTGTTTCTACAACTTTGCAAATTTTCCAATTCTGTCATTGAATAAGTGTCAGTGTCCTAAATGCTATTTTCCAGCTTCTAAAATAACATGTAGTTATTATTATTTTCAGGGAAAAGTCCATGTAAGCTAGTGGCAGTTATTAGTTTGTAGGTAAGCACCTGACCAAGTACCTAGGTACTATTCTTGTTGCGCTATTGACCCTCTTTCATTCTTTCTCAATTTTGTTTTTAGAAATGAACTCAGTGCGTTGAGTAGAGCATGTCAAAGCTCTGAAACATGTGATACCTCCCTAGAATAACAATCCCAAAAATGTTTTACGAAACTCCGCTGTTGACATATGGTGTTTTTTCAGCTGTTCTCTTTTTTAAACCTGGTGCTTCTCAATTCTGGCTTCTGAATCAGTATCAGTGTCTCCAATGCTAATTGCCAGTACCAAAAATAACTGGGCTATAGGTACTTAAGGGGAGATGCAGGTATAAGGGGAAATGCACATACAAGTCGTATTAAATAGTTCTATAGTTTGTGTGCACCTAATCTAGTACTATTCTTGATGCGCGATTGACGCCCTCTCATTCTTTCCCAATTATGTCTTAAGAAATGCATTCAGCACATTGGTTGACACATGTTGGAGTCCTGGAACTTAAGATAGCCCCTGAGATTCACCCATTACCAAAAGTGCCTAACGAAACGTTCCGCTTTGTACCTACTCAGGTGTTATTGGGCTTTCTTTTCTACAGCTTTGCCTATTTTCCAATTTTGTTGATTGAATTAGACTCAGTGTCTTAAATGTTATTTTTCAGTACCCAAAAATAAATGGATTGCTATTATTTTAAGAGAACTGCACATGTAAGCCTGTGGCAGTAAGTAGCTTTGTTTGCACCTTACTAAGTACAATTTGCACCTTTACTATTCTTGTTGCACGATCGACACCCTCACTCTTTCTCAATCCTTTTTTAGAGACAAATTCAGTGCATTGAGTAAAACATGTCAAATCCATGAAACTTGTGATATTGTTTAACAAGTTATTCTTCATCCTTCTAATAAACTTGGGTTAGGTATCTTCAAACATTCACATAATACCAAAAGTGATTTACGGAACTTTCTGCAATTGACATGAAAGGTGTTTTGGACTTTTCTTTCTAAACCACTGGCCATTTCCAAAGTCTGTTATCTGAATCAGCCTCACTGTCTCCAATGTTATTTGCCAGTATAAAAAAAACTGGGCTATTTGTATTTAAGGGAAATGCACATGCATGTCATGATATTAAGTGACTTTGCTGTTTGTGTGCACCTGACCAGGTACCTACTATTCTTGATGCGCAATTGAATCTCTCTCATTCTTATTCCATTATGTCTTTGGAAACGCATTCAGCAGGTTGATTAGAACATGTTAGTGCCCTGGAACTCAAGGTAACCCTTGAGGTTCACTTAATACCAAAAATGCCTAATGAAACGCTTTGCTTTGGGCTTAGGTGTTTTTGGTCTTTCTTTTCTACAACTTTGTCAATTTTCTCATTCCGTCTATTGAATTAGCCTCATTGTCTTTAAATGCTATTTTCCAGTACCAAAAATAGCTGGGTAATTATCATTTAAGGCAAATGCACATGTAAGCTAGTGGAAGAAAGTAAGTAGGTAGCTGTGTGTGCACCTGACCAAGTACTAATCTTGTACATTCTTTCTCACCTTCGTTTTCAGAAACAACTTCATCGCGTTGAGTAGAGCATGTCAAAGATCTGAAATTGGTGATATTTCTCCCTAGATTCACATACTTTGTACCAAAAGAGTTCTATGAAACTTTCTGCTTTTGACATGAAATTTGTTTTTGGGCTGTTTTATTTCTTAAGCCATTGGTCTGTCCGTCTAAGACTGTCTTCTTAATCAGCCTCAGTGTCTCCAATTACACAAAGCCATTCAGGGGCGTAGCCAGGATTTCCCTAAAGGAGGGGGCCAAACTGACAGGGGCTCAAGGTAACCCCCTCAAAATTGAAAAAGTCATCGGATTTCATCCACTATTTTTGGAGGGGGGGGGGCAAATAAATATATGAAATATTTATTAGAAAAGAAAGGAAAAGAATGTTAAAACTGAGGGGTGTTTTTGGGGCAAGCATGAAGCAAGGCCCACGAATAGCTTCAAAGAGTCGCTCAGCCGGTTCTGAGGGCGGTCTGAGGGCCCCGTAGGTCGGATGAGTGTCCTTCAGACCGCCAAAGGCCTCCACAGCCCATGAGAGCCTCGTAAGCCGTCTGAGGGTCATGTAAGCCGTCTAAGGGCCACTCAGACCTATAAAAGGCCCCCTTGCACGTGCAGAGGGCCCTGTCAGACCGATGGAGGGCCCTCTCAGCCAAAGTAACGGCCCGTTCAGGTCATTTGAGGTCCTCCTCAAACCGATAGGGGCACCTCAGAGATTGACAGTGGATCCGATCTGCGATCCCTCAAACCGACATAGGGTCAGACCAACAGTCGGAGACAAACAGATCAACAGAGGGCCCGTCAGGTGAACAGAGGGCTCTCTCAGGCCGATCGAGGGACCCATAGGCCAACAGGGGCCCTCAGAACAGCGGAGGGCCTCTCCCAGGTCGGGAGAGGGCCCCTGAGACTGACAGAGGCCCCTCATGTCGAAAGAGGAGCTCCTCAGGTGGGGAAAACGCCCCTCCAGTTGATTAGAGGCCACTTCGGACGAACAACGGGCCCCTCAGGCCGATCGGAAGCCCCTCAGACCGACAGAAGGCCCTCTCGGTCCAAAAAGGGCCCCTCATGCAAATAGCGGTTCCTTTAGACTAACAGAGGGCCCTTCAGATGTTCTAAATTAAAATATGCATATTATTTACACCTTGATTTTGTGCACACACCGTTGGACCCATCCCATCCACCTGGACCCCCTGGTTTCAAAAGGGCCCCAAGGCTCTAAAATTGGGGCTCCAAATTATGGCTACGCAGCTGCATCAAATGATCTGTCGCAGGGGCCTTTGCATCGCCAAGGGCCCACTGTGTCAGCCAGGGGCCCTATGGAATAGGGGCCCCTGGCCTGGCGCGATGGGGGCCCTATTGGGCTTCAAGGGGGCATGGCCCCTATGGCTCCCCCTTGACTACGCCCCTGAAGCCATTAAGTTGCTTTGTGTGCACATAACCAGATACTTAGGTACTTTATTATGCGCGATTCACAGTGACAGTGGTCGCGTTACAGGCCAGATGAAGCCGGTTAGCGGGGCGGGCCGTGTCCGGCTATGATGTACACGTTAAATATTCGACTCTAAATTCTGCCTTGTACCCGAAATTTCCCGATCGGGCGTTAGAGGTCAGAACCTGCGCAACAAGCACCGCTTAGCGTTAGTTCTGACATCGGAAATCCACCCATTCAAAGTATTTTGAATAAATTTATAAAAATGATCGGACATTGGTAGGAGGGTGGGGATAGGGAAAGGGTCGGGGGTCAGTGACAGGGCACTGTCGGTAAAAAAAAAAATACGGTTGGGTCCTTCAAAGGATAAATAAGCTTCACCCTTCGCTCATTGAGACATTTGTGATTGCTATTGACTTACACTTTCTGTGACATGTAAGGCTTATATACTACTTATGTACTACTTATACTAGTCTATACTAGTATATATAAGTTGTATATACTACTTATATACTACTTGTCAATTCACTGTTATTTTCCAGGTGACCAGACGCATGATCCAAGCGCATGCGTACAGTCCAAGCGTAGGTCCACCGTCCAAGCGTGGATTAAGCCAACATGGGGAAAAGAAAGGTTTGTCTGTGGTGTGTGTGTAGATCAGAGATGAGCATATGGTAGCACGACACACTCCTCATTAATCATTGTTACTTGCCTTGCTCGTACAGATTTCCATCAGCAACTGCCCGACGTCGGACGTTTTGTATTTATTTGAAAATATGAGTATTGCGTAAAACATACTGAGATCAAATGAATATTTTGTTCTTCGTTTCAGATTTGTTTGGTTTCTAGGATCTGTTAACCTTATTCCTTGCAGGTGGAATGGAGTTGGAAAGGCTATAAATCTTTAACTTTCAACCGATTTTAACGAAACTAAGTGCTTATTCATACCTAAACTTAGCCTCCATAAAAGTTTCTGGTTTTGGGAAACTGTTGAAGCATAGGCGGTTTTAGACGGCAAAAACTGTGGTACAAAATAAAGACACCTTTAACTCTTTTGTGTTTCTTGCTTCGGTGTTACGGTTTTCTTGTTTTGCGCTTTTTACCGAGCTGTGCTAGTCCAATATCATTAGCGCCGAATACGTTACTGACAAGTGTTGTTCCTCTACATTGAAGCGCCCAAGTGCAGCGCTGGCATGATTTTTGAATGTTCGATCTCCAAGTCCTTTTTGAATATCAACACACACTCATTGTTGGCCATTGTCACATTTGGCACCAATTTGGTTATTTAAAATTGGGTCTGGAGCCGCCTCTGATGTATATTTTGGTGTTAAAAATTTGGTACAAGCGCCAGACATTCTGCACAAAGGCTCAAATGCAGCGTTCTTCAGTGTCATTTTTATCTGAAATTAAAAAATGAAAGAAATACCCGAGCAAGGAATAGGGTTATCTGCATGCGACAATGTTATTGAGTGATACTCATGGACCGAACTGAATTGATCTTGTTGGAACGTGTTTATAGTGTGATATGACGAGTTGTGTATATGTGTGCGTGTAACTTGCAAGCAATGTTTCATGTAGTCACGATACTGTTTAACAAACATGCATATGTTCCTCCCTAGGGACGCCCAGGAAGGCTGATCGCCAGAAAAAGACCCCGGAGGAGTGTTGAGGTAATTTGCGATTGCTATACCTTTATAACGGACATGTTTTCAGATAATAAATAATCGCAGAGTAATAATCGTATGCTCACTGTATTGAAAAGTCTAAACTTAGCCTAAAATGACTAAAGATGTAAATGGATTATTCGAAACAACTATTCATTTTAGGCTAAGTTCAGATTTTTCAAGACAGTGAGCATACGGTTATTACTCTACGATATTGAATCATGCTGCTCATGGTAATTAGTACCTCGCCACCTCATCACAATAAATCATCGCCTAAAATTTTCATAGCAGTTAGCCCCGGGAGTGCCTATCGCCATAGCACCATTAACATGCCACTGTTATCTGTGTTAACATGTGTTAACATATCCACTGTTTTCTCCTGTTCTATGGGCACAAATATCCAAATTTATGTTTCTTATTTTACCTGTCGCTGTGATACCTTGCTCCCATCTCTCTCCCCTCTCTCTCTCTCTCTCTTCTCTCTTCTCTTTCTCTCTTCTCTCTCTCTCTCTTCTCTTTCTCTTCTCTCTTTCTCTTCTCTTCTCTTTCTCTTTCTCTTTCTCTCTTCTCTCTTCCTCTTTCTCTTTCTCTCTTTCTCTTTCTCTCTCTCTCTTTCTCTTTCTCTTTCTCTTTCTCTTTCTCTTTCTCTTTCTCTTTCTCTCTTTCTCTTTCTCTTTCTCTTTCTCTTTCTCTCTTTCTCTCTCTCTCTCTCTCTCTCTCTCTCTCTCTCTCTCTCTCTCTCTCTCTCTCTCTCTCTCTCTCTCTCTCTCTCTCTCTCTCTCTCTCTCTCTCTCTCGTCATTCTCTTCATCCTTTTCTCCTTCACGGTGATTTTTTATTACAGGAAGTATTTTCATTACAGGAAATATTTTTCGTCGAGGACGTTCTAGAGTTTAACGAGGCCACGGATATGTATCGGGTGAAATGACAAGGCACTCCGTAAGTATTTCGCACATATTTTGTACATTTAGCAATTAGTGTGCAAAGTGATATTAGTGTCCTTACTGATCCAGAGACAACTTCGTACTTCAATATTTTTTAGCATATCAAACACTGTACTGCTATCGCTCCAAAGTACGCAATTACCAATTTGGTCAGTTACCAGTACATAACAGTAAACAGTAGTACTAACTAAGAATATATGATGATCCTAACTACTACGTTTTTGCATGAGAACTCATCTGCAGTCTTTCCGATGCATGGTATCGCCCATATTTTCAACCTGACATCCCACGAATGTCCTTTCGTTAAAATCAGTTACACCTTGACCTAATGTACCTTCCTTTTTCGCACAGTGAAATAACCTGGGAACCCTCTCATCACTTCCATCCCGATTTGCTTCGTGCGTTCCATGACGGTGAGTTGGTAATGGAATAAAGCGTAGCTTTGTCTCCTCTCTCTCTCTCTCTCTCTCTCTCTCTCTCTCTCTCTCTCTCTCTCTCTCTCTCTCTCTCTCTCTCTCTCTCTCTCTCTCTCTCTCTCTCTCTCTCTCCCCTCTCTCTCTTTCTCTGTCTCTGTCTCTCTGTCTCTGTCTCTCTGTCTCTCTCTCTCTCTCTCTCTCTCTCTCTCTCTCTCTCTCTCTCTCTCTCTCTCTCTCTCTCTCTCTCTCTCTCTCTCTCTCTCTCTCTCTCTCCTCTCTCTCTCTCTCTCTCTCTCTCTGTCATTTCCCTCTCTCCATCACCTGTTTCACCCCTCTCACAATCTTTCTGTCCTGTCCTCTCCATTTTCATTTCTTTTAAATATCCTGGTCCGGACGAGGGTTACATTACTGTCTTTTTATCATTGAGGCAAATTTCCACATGTCGCGTACGTGCGTCAACAATAAGTGCATTCCCGGTCCTCTATACACTGTATTTTGTTGCTGCCTCTATGCTGTTATCTGGTCCGAATGCTAACGTGTTGAATGGTTCGGTCGGCTCGTGGTCCCTTGTTACAAGTGATTTTGTGTGCGGACAGGTCCGGATGGTTCCGAGGCTGCCACCGTGTCGGAGACCGGTAGCCTCGCAGGGGGCCACCAGTCCGGCGCGCAGTCGGACGCCCAGTCTGACGCCCAGTCCGACGATCTGTCTGACGCCCAGCCCGACGATCAGTCTGGCGCCCAGTCCGTCGTCCTCACGAGGATGATGACGCTGCCAGGACCGGTGGCTATGCCGACGTCTCGTAAGTCTCTCCTTCCCCTCCCTTTCTCTCTCCCTCTACCTTCTTTCTGTTTTGGTCGTTTTCCTGTTTCTCCAACACTCCCTCCTACCTCATCTTACTCCTCTCACAATATTTTGGTCTGTCGCCAGCCATTTTCAGCTATTCTCGATGTCCCGTCCTGACGAGGGTAACATTACTGTCTTTTTATGATTAAGGCAATGGTGTAGCACACGTTTCCACATGTGGCGTACGTGCATGACCATTAACCCTCGCCGGCACAGGGGGATGCAACCCCTCCCCTAAGAGTTTTCGCGAATAATTCGTTTTAAAAGCGGTCGATCGCGACGAAACTTTCAGTACCCTCGCATTGATCAATTGACACCTACATTGAAAATTTCATGACCCTGACCCGTATGATCTTTGACCTGTGATCTACTTTCCGAGACCATGTCTGGCCGGAATCGCGATTCGGTGTATGTCGGCTCGCATTAGCCGCGCGTTTGCAAGCTTCTCGTGGTTTCAAACGTTCAAACATGTGATTTGATGTTGCTCCCATACATTGGGGTGGATGTCAAGGTCACCTGAACGTCAGGTCAGGTCATTGACGTTTGGTGACCTCGGTTCAATTTTCGAGTTTTGCATGTTTCTAGATTAGTTTTTTTTACAGGTCTCGATTTTCCCGATTTTTTGGGTCATTGACCTGATCTGGAAGGCGAACCGATGACTAGGACCTTAAAATTGGATATTATCGTCTTCGTCTCGTGACGGGCAGCACGCTCGTTTTTTCCGCGAAGCTCTAGCTCGATCAGGAGTCAAACGCAGGGGGGTCGTACCAACCCCCCTTGTGCCGTCGAAGGACGCAAAATATCCTGTGCCGGCTTGGGTTAAATGCGTGTCCGGTGCTCCATACCCAATATTTCAATTCCTACCTCTGTATTGTTTTTTCCGAGTGTTCCTAACTGGCTTACGTGTTGAATGGTTCGGTCGGCTTGTGGTCCCTTGTTACAAGTGATTTTGTGCGCGGACAGGTCCAGATGGTTCCGAGGCTGCCACCGTGTCGGAGACCGGTAGCCTCGCAGGGGGCCACCAGTCCGGCGCGCAGTCGGACGCCCAGTCGGACGCCCAGTCGGACACCCAGTCCGACGATCAGTCTGGCGCCCAGTCCGTCGTCCTCACGAGGATGATGACGCTGCTAGGACCGGTGGCTATGCCGACGTCTCGTGAGTCTCCCCTTCCCCTCCCTTTCTCTCTCCCTCTACCTTCTTTCTGTTTTGGTCGTTTTCCTGTTTCTCCAACACGCCCTCCTACCTCATGTTACTCCGCTCACAATAATTCTGTTCTGTCGCCAACATTTTTTTATATAAATTTAGCTCGAATGTTTGAATGGACAGATTGACAGAGCCGGAGCCCACGCTAAGCAGAGCTTGTTGCGTAGACCCCGACCCCTACCGTCAGATCGTGCAATTCTGGGTAACGGGAGGATTTAGATGCCAAAGTTTAACGTGCCCTTCAAAGCCGGACACGGCCTCTCCCACTCAACTGACTTCAACTGGCTGCGGCTGCTCCCACCAACCGCAGACCATCTCCGTCAGGAGTCTCAAATATCGAGCGCCGGAGCGTCTCGAACCCGGGCTCTCACTACCGGGAGTCCAATGCTCTACCAACTGAGCTACGGGACATTTTCAGCTCTTCTTAATGTCCCGGCCCGGACGAGTATAACATTGCTATCTTTTTATGATTAATACAATGGTTGTAGCACACATTTCCAACTGTTGCGTACGTCCATGAACATTAAATGCGTTTCCGGTGCTCCGTACCCCATATTTTGTTCCTGTCTCTATATTGTATTTTTCCGAGTGTTTCGAACAGGCTTACGTGTTGAATGGTGCGGTCGGCTCGTGGTCCCTCGTTACAAGTGATTTTGTGTGCGGACAGGTCCGGATGGTTCCGAGGCTGCCACCGTGTCGGAGACCGGTAGCCTCGCAGGGGGCCACCAGTCCGGCGCGCAGTCGGACACCCAGTCTGACGCCCAGTCCGACGATCTGTCTGACGCCCAGCCCGACGATCAGTCTGGCGCCCAGTCCGTCGTCCTCACGAGGATGATGACGCTGCCAGGACCGGTGGCTATGCCGACGTCTCGTAAGTCTCTCCTTCCCCCTCCCTTTCTCTCTCCCTCTACCTTCTTTCTGTTTTGGTCGTTTTCCTGTTTCTCCAACACGCCCTCCTACCTCATGTTACTCCGCTCACAATAATTCTGTTCTGTCGCCAACATTTTTTATATAAATTTAGCTCGAATGTTTGAATGGACGGATTGACAGAGCCGGAGCCCACGCTAAGCAGAGCTTGTTGCGTAGACCCCGACCCCTACCGTCCGATCGTGCAATTCTGGGTAACGGGAGGATTTAGATGCCAAAGTTTAACGTGCCCTTCAAAGCCGGACACGGCCTCTCCCACTCAACTGACTTCAACTGGCTGCGGCTGCTCCCACCAACCGCAGACCATCCCCGTCAGGAGTCTCGAATATCGAGCGCCGGAGCGTCTCGAACCCGGGCTCTCACTACCGGGAGTCCAATGCTCTACCAACTGAGCTACGGGACATTTTCAGCTCTTCTTAATGTCCCGGCCCGGACGAGTATAACATTGCTATCTTTTTATGATTAATACAATGGTGTAGCACACATTTTCAATTGTTGCGTACGTCCATGAACATTAAATGCGTTTCCGGTGCTCCGTACCCCATATTTTGTTCCTGTCTCTATATTGTATTTTTCCGAGTGTTTCGAACAGGCTTACGTGTTGAATGGTTCGGTCGGCTCGTGGTCCCTTGTTACAAGTGATTTTGTGTGCGGACAGGTCCGGATGGTTCCGAGGCTGCCACCGTGTCGGAGACCGGTAGCCTCGCAGGGGGCCACCAGTCCGGCGCGCAGTCGGACGCCCAGTCGGACGCCCAGTCCGACGATCTGTCTGACGCCCAGCCCGACGATCAGTCTGGCGCCCAGTCCGTCGTCCTCACGAGGATGATGACGCTGCCAGGACCGGTGGCTATGCCGAAGTCTCGTGAGTTCTCTCTCTCTCTCTCTCTCTCTCTCTCTCTCTCTCTCTCTCTCTCTCTCTCTCTCTCTCTCTCTCTCTCTCTCTCTCTCTCTCTCTCTCTCTCGCTCTCTCTCTCTCTCTCTCTCTCTCTCTCTCTCTCTCTCTCTCTCTCTCTCTCTCTCTCTCTCTCTCTCTCTCTCTCTCTCTCTCTCTCTCTCTCTCTCTCTCTCTCTGTCTCTCTCTCTGTCTCTCTCTCTGTCTCTCTCTCTGTCTCTCTCTGTCTCTCTCTCTCTGTCTCTCTCTCTCTGTCTCTCTCTCTCTCTCTCTGTCTCTCTCTCTCTCTCTGTCTCTCTCTCTCTCTCTGTCTCTCTCTCTCTCTGTCTCTCTCTCTCTCTGTCTCTCTCTCTCTCTCTCTCTGTCTCTCTCTCTCTGTCTCTCTCTGTCTCTCTCTCTGTCTCTCTCTGTCTCTCTCTGTCTCTCTCTCTCTCTCTCTGTCTCTCTCTCTGTCTCTCTGTCTCTCTCTCTCTCTCTCTCTCTCTCTCCTCTCTCTCTCTCTCTCTCTCTCTCTCTCTCTCTCTCTCTCTCTCTCTCTCTCTCTCTCTCGCATGCTGGCACTATTCATCGACCCGAAAAATATTTTGATGTCGATGTTGTTCACGTTATGTGCTGGGGAAGCTACAATGCGGAGAGTTCGATGAATATTTTGTTTTTGACGTTTGGTATCCTCAGTTAATTGTTTTTCCTGCTTTTACAGGAGGTCGCCAACCGAAGCCGTCAGCTATGGTGAAGCCCGTTTATCGCAAACCTGAACAAGCTGTGGCTCGTCCGGCTCGTCAGCTATCGCTGAAGAGCCGGACCTAAAACAGCGGACTTGGAAGGATGTAAAGTACCAGGTCCACAATATGATTACGACCCGCCAGAGACGGGCGCTCAGATAGGTGAAAAGAGCTTCACCAGTCCGGCGCCCAGTCCGGTGCCCGGTCCGGCGCCCAGTCCGGCGCCCAGTTCGGCGCCCAGTCCGGCCTTCACCGTTTTTGTGGCAAATACAGCATCTGTCCTTTTTTTCGCTTTTTTTGTATCTATGTACGGAAGGTCTCGCCCCGCGCCGTCCGGCCGGTGCTGGATTACACAGACCGGTATTATAGGTAGCACGAAACAAAACCTTGAACTTTTAGAGAAACACCTTAATCCGGGCTTAGATTAACTGACCATTGCATCAACATGACACACATTTATCACTTAATTGTAATATGTTGCGCAATTATGACCACGTTTATGATAATAAGTGCCCAGCACAGAAGGTCATGAAACCCAAACTGCTGAGTTCCCAATGTCGTGTAGTTGACCTGACCTTGACCCGACCCCTGACTTCAAAATTCAAATTTTGAGTGCTCATCAGACGTGTCTTGTCCCGAGCTTTCTTTTACTGTCTCGCCCGTCTAGCTGCGATTAGTGGTGCTTGAGTTATCGGCTGGGGGTGTTTAACGCCCCCCGGTCCCCAGCATGCGTTGGGTGGAGAGGCACCCAAGCAACTGCCTGGTTTAACCCTCGCCGGAGCCGGACCTATGGTTTTCTACATACGCGCCGGCCGAATGGGGTGGGTGCGACCCCCTCGCCGTTTCGCCCCTAATGGAGCTAGCGCGTCGCGGAAAAAAAACGAGCGTGTGCGCCGTTACGAGACGCAGAGATTGGTACCCGATTTTAAGGTCCTAGGTCAACCGGTGACCTCTGAGGTCAGGTCAAGTGCCCCATGAGATGGGTTCGGTTTTTGGCGAATAAAAACGCAAAAAAAATATCACAGCCGCGATTTTCACAACATCGTGTTCGCCTTAGTCTGGCGTGTCGAATGAAATGCGGTTGATGTCAGAAGATGCGGCTTGAATCAAAGGTCAGGTATGCCAAGTTTCAGCTCGCCATCGTCAGCGTGTTCGAAACTATCGCGAAAAAAAAACTTTTGGGCGGCCTCCCCTTCGGCCGGCGAGGTTTAATATTCGATACCGCTTACCTTATCCGATGACATGTCATCCCGCGAGTATAAATTTTGTGATGTCCCCTGAAATCATGTCTTGTCTGGCAACTCCGCATTCTGTTCTCAGAAACCATGTACTGTATGACGACTCCACACACTGTCCTCTGATCTCGCCTATCTGTATGACGACTCCACACACTGTCCTCTGATCTCGCCTATTGTCCTCGGATGGTCAACATCACATAACACCAGTTCAAATGGGCCCAAAGCTAACAACAGTCAATACGTAATATCAGATACTGTGCCAATGATTCATATGAAATTAGGAGTCAATCCAACGCAGTCTTCGATGTGTCCTCGAATATGACCTACGTGCGGTGTCCTCATAATTCACACTTTACAAGTATGTGTGTGTGTGTGTGTGTGTGTGTGTGTGTGTGTGTGTGTGTGTGTGTGTGTATGTGTGTGTGTGTAGGTGTGTGTGCGTGTGTGTGGGGGGGTGTGGGTGTGTAGGTGTGTGTGTGTGTGTGCGTGTGCGGGCGCGGGCGCGGGCGCGGGCGTGTGTGTGCTTGTGCGTGTGAATACCTCTGGTTGAATATCGCTTTTATAAAAATGAAAAACATGAGAGCACCAAAAAGTCCCCCATCCACCGGGAATATGGTTAACGGATAAGAGCCTTATCGTTCACGAATCTTTGCTTATTTTGCTCAACCCTAACCTTTGCTTACTAAGCTCTTCCTGTACGAGCCTTGTGCTTGCAAACCTTTGTCTGCGACAGAAGCGCGTGCGCCGGTTTGGAGTGGCTGAGCTGTATGCTGTACGCTGCTGCCGTCAGGAGCGCTGGACTACCTGCGGGACGAGACGAATCCGGTGGCGCGCACGGCGGCCATCACGGCCGGCGGCCTGGCCGGCCTGCTGGCGGCCGCGCTGCGCCGGCGGGGACTTCTCCAGCGGCTACTCTACACCGGCGTCGGGCTGACAGGTGGGCTCCCAGCCGACCGCCGCTGGCCGCAGCCAGCGATGCGCACAGCCGGCCGGCCGTATGCTGCGCTCAGCTGAGATCCGTGCCAGCTCTCTGCCGGCTGCCGATTGGAGCAAATGGTTTGATGTGATTTGCCACGAAAAAAAATGTTGTCAAAATTACAGCTCTAAGGAATCGATTACCGGATCGCATTCCGGATGCATCCCTTCCGAACAGCAGAGGCCTATTCAGGGTTCCGCTGTTGGCTTACTTCTGTGTTATGTTTTGCCAATTCACTATGCAACAGTCATTTCGTTCCTGAGTAATGACCGATTTTTTGGACTCATTGGGTCTAATTATAACCGAAATGGGCATTTGTTTTGATCTGAAAATGCTTTTCCGGTTTTCAGAGACGATTTTCGATTTTTTGGCCCAGAAATTCGGTTTTTGGCCCACCGTGTCCGGTGTAATTGAGTTAATCGACTCGCGGTAACTTTCATCGCCTTTCCTATGCCACAAGCTTTCGAGTGATATTCGGTTTTGCAAATTTCCGTGTAAAAATAACGTCATATATCTATGTTAAAGTAAGGAAATGTTGAAATTTTGTAAATATTTGACATTTTTCGATTTCATTTCAAAATAGAGGAAAAACTAAAGGCCTTATCCAAATTCTGAGCCCAGTTCCTTGAAGAACATCCGTTTGGAAGGTACTATTTTAGTGCATTTTATCGGTTTACTGTGGCGTCCAGATTTGAGTCACTTGAAAAACGGGCCCCCATCCATTTCCTTGACAGTATGTGTTCAGTGCATGAAGAGTCATTCTAACAAATGGAGGTACAGATCAAGATTCTGAGCGACAGGACTGCTCAAAAGTAAGTTCCTGCGTGTAACCCGAGGTCACAAGGGGTCAACAACATGACCTCAGTTGACCCTTCGTTGACCCTATGGCGTTAACATACGTTATCGGGTTAATGCTATGTGATATGACCTAGGATATGTGTTAAGGTTAACTCAATCTGGACGCCATAGGAATCCAATAAATTGCACTAAAAAAGTACCTTCCGGACGGAAATAATAATACTCTTCAAGGAACTGGGCTAAGAATTTGGATAGGGCCTTTAGTTTTTCCTCTATTTTGAAATGAAATGGAAAAAAAATGTCAAAAAATTCCAAATTTAACATTTTCTAACTTTAACATTGATTTATTACGTCATTTTTACGCGTAAGTATGCAAAACCAGGGGCCTGTACACATTCAGCTGTTGTGCTGTTGTCAGCCGAGAAACGTTCACCTTTTTGGCTGAAAAATTAATGACGTCATCTTGCACTTGCAACATGACGTCATCTCTCTGCTGACGGCAGCATAGGCTGACGAGCTGAGCTGTGCTGCCAGGAGAAAGCAAGTGCAGAGATGCCAAGCCGTCAGCAGAAGCCATAAATGACGCATTTAGACACTGGTAGTGGCGCATGTAAACAAATCACGTGCCATATTTTTACTAAGTACCATAGAGATCTTATATACATAGAGATGACACGCCTATGTTAAAGCACTTGATTTCGTGGCGATTCAGTGGGTCTTTTTAAGCAAGGTTTTCTGGGGTGCCATGGCCCGTGACTTGCATTTTGTAAGGATTCGGTCAAGGAGATTGTGTTCACATCCGCTTATTTTTAAGTACAGTTTTTCTTTTTTGTCTAGCTGTGACGCTTTCGAGCGTTATTATTGAAATGAAATTAGGCATGTTTTAACATTATGCTCGTATCAGGTACTGCATGTATCATTAACCCTCGCCGTCCGACGGGGGGGGGGGGCGGGTGTCGCCTCCCTATAGGGTTTTTCACGATAGCTCCGAACACGCCGGCGATAGAGAGCTGAAACTTGGCATACCTGACCTTTGATCCAAGCCGCATCTTGTGACACCAACCGCATTTTCAGGTCAGGTCAGGCCACTGACCTGTGACGTCATAAGTGAACCTCTGCACAGTCCTCAGATGTCGCAACTTCGCAACGCCGTCAGTGCCAGAGGAACTTTCACAGGGAGATGAAACTTACAGGATGTAGTATCAGCCAGAGGTCTCACAACTTTTACACATATCTCGGATTTTCCCTAAAAATCACATGAGGTCAGGTCGGCCACGTGACCTCACCATTAGGTATAAGTCAATGGGGAAAAATGAAAACTGCTATGTTAGCGCCGAGAACTATCTCAAACTGTCTCCAGCACATGGAATCGTGATTTCTTGCACGTCTTGCAAGGTCCGATGCTTCACTTTTGCATTGTTGACATTGCGTGGCGTCATTTATGGTCACTTGTGTCATTGATTAAAGAAAGCGCGGTTTTGAGGCTCATGATTACATATATAACTGCAATGAAAACCGTTAGACGGTTTGAAAAAGTCAGTTTGTCAGTTTGGCCAACATGTCTTATTTTCTTGGCCCAATTTTGAATATGATTATTAGCATGAGGCTTACGGTTTTCATTGCAGTTATATACTTGGGTCATTAGAGTTTTTCATCAATAACTCCCCATCAAATTGAGTTAGCGAGTCGGGAAAGCCACCAATAAACTCAGGAAGACCTGCCGATTCGAGTAATATGTAACATGACCTCTTTCAACCAGCTTCGTGATCTGGGGGAGCTGACCTGCCCTTGACCCGAGGTCAACACCTCAAGTTGACCTCACCCGAACAAAAAGTATACCATTCGACGCGCCTGAGCGAGGCGAACACGATGATGCCAAAATCGCGGCTCTCCGATCGTTTTTGTTGCGAAGTTATGAAAAATTGAACCCTGGCCTTTGGTCACTTGCCCTGACCTCATGAGACCTTAAAATCGGGTACCAGTCCCTTCGTCTCGTAACGGAGCACGCGCCTGTTTTTTTTTCGCGACGCTCTAGCTTCATCAGGGGCGAAACGGCGAGGGAAATCGTACCAACCCCTCCCCCCCCGGCCGGCGCGTATGTAGAAAACTAATATGTCCGGCGAGGGTTAATGTATCATTGAATGGGAACATGCAACATATGTATATTTGAGCTTGCACCGTGCTCAGAAAGGTTCAGAACAGCCGTTTTCACGACGGTTGACCGAAAGCGCCAAACTTGACCAAATCTCAAAGAACCTACCCTTAAAATTCCAT